AAGAAAATGAGCAAAATGAAGCGTGACCTGAGGGCAGGCATATGGCATAGCCACCTGATTTTAAGTGAATTGATAATATAATGGCTGAAAACTGGGGAAAGCCTTAACTGACAGCCTCAACAGAACTTAGCATGTGTTTTAATGTTCTGGTTAATAAAGAAAAGCTGCGTTCACTGCATGATGTTACTTCTGTGTATCTGCTTGCCTGTGGGAGCGCCTGCCCTTGGTGGTGGTGCTGCTTTTTTGGGTGCAGTTAGAGAGGATTTTGGACCTTTGACTGTCAGCATCTTGCAGCTTATAAGCATTTGATTTGGATTTAAAGTCGGCTGTGTGTGTCTCCATTCTTACAGGAGTCTTAGCTCTGTTTGGTGACTCCTGTGCTACAGTTCTGGTATCGCATGTTTTCATTCAGCGTCCCCAAAGGATGGTTGTTTGAGGGAGGGGTCTGTTAAACGCTCCTCTCTGAAGTCTGCTGCTCTGGTATCCAGACAGCCTGGATCTGATCTAATGGCCTGGGCAGGCTGGAGCCTTGTGCTGCCCAACCAGTGGGAAGGGACCCAGGTGCATCCATGGCTCTGGTCTGGCTGCTGCCCGTCCAGCAAAGCTGGAGGGAGGTGGCACCTTCTTGTGTGCGTTTGGAGCTGATGGTCAGGCTGTGAATGTCTTTGCAAATGCCAAGGTGCATCTTGGAAATGCTGCTGCTCCATGGTGCTGGTGGGTGAGGGTGGTGAGGGACCATCCTTGTGCTGTCCTGTGTCCTGGGGTAGGGAGCAATGGCAGCTCCCACCCCAACCCCAGCCTGGAGAGAGCTCTTGGCGTTCATACTTGCTCAGAAGTTGACCGAGAGGGTCTGGAGGATGCTGTGCAGTGAATTTCCTCTGTGGTGACTTGAAAGATATAAAAAATAACTGCAGCCATGGGGAGCTGGGTCTTTGTGTTGAGGAGACGATAAAAAATAACTGCAGCCATGGCCCCATGGCATGTGGACAATGGGGAGCTGGGTCTTTGTGTTGGGGAAAAGAAGGGAAACAGGTCTCTGGATCTTAAACTTCATTAGAGTGTTGGAGTTTAAGAGGATTTCCAAAGAAATGGGAGTGGGCTGGGAAGTGGCCTGGCTGACTCTCCAGAGCAGGCTGGAGAGGTTTTAACAGTGAGGGGTTTGCAAAGGTCTGCCAGACAGTAAATTTCCACGAAGAATGGTCCCAGGTGTAAAATAGCATCCTTGTAAAACACACACTGTATGTACATGTGCCTTGAACCTAAGGCTGTCCTCAAATTCCACTTGATGTTCAGATGAAGGTCTGGTCAGATGTGATGTTAGGAAGCTGGAGTCTGATCTGAAGTGGCCCTTGTCCTGGAAGCCCGAAGAGGTTAACCTCATCTGCTGTAGAGGATGGCAGGTCTTTCCTCGCCTTGGACAGCAGATGTTCTCCTTGGCCCCATCCCAAAGGGACCCGCTCAGCATAGCCCCCCATGGGCACGGCTGGGACCCCAGCGCTGCACAGCTGCCCGCTGGCTTGGGTGGGCAACGCTGGAGGGCTGCCCGTTGCTCAGGAGAATTAGGTCAAACTCCTGAATTATTCTGTTTAGATACCATTCCATGGATGACAAGGAAAAAAAAAAAAAAATCAAATTTGATCAATGCTGCTTTTGTGGATGGGCTTTTCAAAAACGCTCGTTCCCCCTGGAGTGGGTAAGGAGTTTTGGGGTTGGATGAGTTTTATTTCAGGAGGAAAAAGTTAAGCTAACACAGGGTGTTTTTACAGTCCTGTTCTAGATATTACATCCTTTAAGGCCCTCTTTGGAAAGCTTCCAGGTCAGAGATTTTTTTGGCCTTAGATTCCAGGGCTGGCACTTTCAGCAAAGGCACATGCAGTTCAACACTGCAAAACCAAATTTTTCAGGAATATCTGTGTGCTGCAGGGGCCTGGCTCTTATCTGGGGTGCTCTCAGCTGTCCCCAATGAAAGGCAACACTACGCTGGCTTTAGAGCTGCACCTGAGCAGGTGAGGTGCCCTGATGGCCTCGTAATTGTTGCTTTTAGCCATGGTCTGATCTTGCCACTTCAGCTTGGTTTTGTCTTCACCTTGGGCACTGGCTGCTTATCCCGGGGAAGGGAATGGGTGAATTCAGGCGTGTATTGAGTTTGAGACCCACCCAAAGCTCAGGGTGGGATGTGGATGGAGAACCTCGCGCAACCAGATTGCCTCTTCTCCTGGTGCACCTCCTGCCAAGGAGGGACAGAGTGTGGGGTGGAAGCAGAGGTGGGAGGGGATGTATGGGTTTGGGTGGGAGGTCCTGGCGCTGGTGCTGGAGGTTGTGCTTCCCAGGAGAAGCCCCGTTTCCCATGGTTAGTCTGCGGGTGGCCGTGCAGCAGGGCTGGTGGCTCGTGACGATGGGCTGGGCAGACCTGTGCCGTGTCTCAGCTGCAGCGGTGCTGTGGGGCAGCAGGACCCGGTGCTGAGCTGGTCTGTGCTGTCAGGGTGTCGGGGTCAGGTTTGGCACTGGAAGCCCCAGACTGGAGGGAAGGTGCAAATCCCGGCGTGGTGCTCCCCGGTGCGTGCCGGTGGGATCCTGGCTGGCGTTGGGACGGAGAGGAGCGTGCTGGAACGTGGCCCGTTGGAGCAGTGCACGAGCAGATATCTCAGTGCGGACAGCTCCAGATAAACCCCAGGCGGGGCTTGCAGAGGCGATGGCAGGCAATGACCCTGCAGTGGGAGGGAAGTCGGCCCAGTTCTGCTCTGGAAAGCCTTTACCAGGACAGTTGTGAAGCAGAGGAGCTGACACGCTGAGAGGATTCCCAGGGATGGTGCAGAGCTGTTTCTCCCTGGGCTCTGAAATCGCTTCCAGGCCAGTAGCCAAGCACAAGCTGTAAATAACAGACGGTGGCTGATGATCCCGTCTCATTTTGCTCGGAGATGTTGTCAGCTCTGGGCTTTCCCTTGGCATCTTCTCTCCAGTGCTTTGCATTCCCCTCTTCAGCTCCTGGTGCTGGCGGGGCAGCTGGCTGTCCCCTGTCACACTGCTGGGGTGGAGCAGTCACTTCTGTGGTGGCCTCCACCAGGACTCAGCGCAGGAAGAGCTGATGGGTCAGGGTGATGCTTGTGTCTTTTCCCCCTGAGGCTTTTCTAGTCGGCGCTAGTTTGGGAAGGGCTGGAGATAAGGTCAGAGGAGAAATGTCTGGGATTTGCTTCAGTCTCTGTCTTGGCACTCCAGCGTGGGCACCTTGGAAGGCAGATCTTGAGGTTCTCTGCACCCACAACTGCACAGGAAAATTCACCTGGTGGATATCCAGACTTTATCCTGTCACCAAATGCTCCCACCTTATCAAATACCCAAACTGGGGGTGCTGTCCATCACGCTGCTTTCTTTTCCTCACCATTTAGGAATTTCTAAACCCCTTTTATTTCATTGCCCTGGGAGATGATGCTGTAGCAGTGAGGCAGCACAGCTGAGCCCAAGCCCTCTTGAAGCCCCAGCCCACGTGAATGTCACATAAGAAGCAGTATTTATCCAGGATCAAAATAATACCGTGCAAACACCAACATTTTAGGAGACACGCCAAGTGCATGCACATGTCCTCCTGCCCTGAACTCGTGAGCTTAGCCAGCCTCTGCACATCAAGAACCCTTTGAGCTGGGAACATCTGGCTTGGGGCAGCAAAGGTTCCAAGGAAAACACCCGGCGTGCGGGCTGGAGGCACATCCCAGCTCCGTAACCCTTGTCCTTCCCCATCCCACCACCTCGTTGTGCTCACTCCTTGCCTTTTCATTGCACCGTTGGTTGGTTGGGTGAGGGACTCAGCTGGATATTTTTGTTTGCTCGGCAAAACATGCAGCACATCTTGTTTCACGACTGTATGCAGAACCAGCTCGCCGTCTCCTTACGGCGTGGTCCTCGCCAACATCAAGCTTGTTGGCTTTGCTAGGAACTGGTGCTGCTGGAGTGGCCGTGGCCCTCGCCATCACCCTCCCCGACCCCCTGCGCCCATCTCGCAGCTGTGTTGGGGTCCGGCCGGGGAGCAGGCGCGAGGTTTCGCTGGGGCACACGGCATTCTTTCCATGGGCTTTGTTCCCGCGGAATTGAATTTACAGCTCAGCCCCGTGCGGTGCCTGGGTGCCCGGCTTGCGCTCGATGTGTTTATTCATTTTATAAAGACCTGAGCTACAGCTTATAACAGTGGGGAAAAGGGCTCCAGATGAGCTCTTTTGGTGCCTCCTTGGTGCTGTTCGGTGCCTGACCCTGCTGTTGCACCCGCGGGGCTGCGGTGCTGTAGCTCACACGTACGCGTGCTGGCTGTCGTGCTGCCCAGCGTGCCAGGCTGGGGTCACCCGCTGCCCACCCCAGCCCTCCAGAACCCCATCCAAAACCCTTGGGAAATTGTTGAATTGTCCTTTAAGAATTTTTTTTTTTTTAACCCTCTTGTAGGGGTTTTTGCTGCACATGATGGGCAGCGACGAGCTAAATGTTAAACCAGTTCTGTGCCAGGGGTTAAAAACGGCAACTGGTGAGTCAGAGCAGGCATTTGAAGAGACACGGACTATCTCAGCTTGTCAAAATAAACGTTTCCTTTAAGCACAGAGTGTGCCACTGTCTGAAAGCTCGTAATTTAAAACAAGACTTTTTTTGGTTTGATTTTTCTCGATCGTAAACCCGAGTGTATGTGTGTATAGCGGAGGTA